AATAATTAGTGATGTTATCTTGATATATATCGTATAATTCTTCGCGTTTCAGCCCAAGAAGTCTGCAGAATGTCCAGCTGATGGACCTAGACCAAAATCTGGAAAAGGTTCGCTGCAGACTGGCGAAAGACTATGGGTCTCTGCCGCGAAACATGGACTGGAACTGGGTGTGGAGCAGTCGTCCGGAGGTCACCCCGCCGAAGTACGTGTGGTTGCTGTTAAGCTGAATGTTGATTCTGTTACTCTTTTTACTCAGACGCTATCAGCGCAGCCCTCCACGATCTTTTCGAATCCAACCGCAGTCTCAGTGCCGCGGTATCGCATCAGGAAGAGATACGGTGGAGGGCATTTAACTTAATCATGAATATTCGCCATGAACCCAGAAACATTTGCTTTTTGTTAGGCGACAGTTTCAGGATTCATTACGGATTTCACGCCCAAGGTATGTACTCTCCACCATATCTTGTCCTGGCATATGAATCCTTATTTTGTTGAAGCCCTATCATGAATCCCGAAGCACTCAGCTAACGAGGCTCTGGTACATTTACTAGTCTCTGAATGATGTGACTTGCCAGCAGAGGTAGGGAAGGAAATAATAAACTCCAGTGATTATTCGTGGGAGTTTACGGAAAAGCCGCTCTGCCGCAGGATTCATTTCTCTTTTCAAAAACAAACCACGATTTGAAGGCACTTCCATTTTCTGTGCGTACTGATTGTCACGCTGTTGTTAGTCGATCAGTTCACAGTTAATCACGACTATTCACAACTATGACATGACATCTCCTACCTCTTCTTATTCATGTGACTCCTCACTTTGATCGCCGCTTATTCTCCTTGACATTGATGTCCCACTTACGGAGAATAACCAGCGACCAAAGTAGACGCGCAATATGACGAACGAAATTTAATCTGTTAATCATACCGTCTGCACTACCGTTTCTGGGTTCTTTATATTCACGTCAAAAATACACCAACCTTTCTTTTACCATATAGTTCCTTACCTTTACTCTTATCTTTAGAGCATTTGTGTTTGCATGGTTGCGTAGCCTTAAGGCGCAGGTTAGTGAGATTCCTTCACATATTGGATGAAATGAAGAAATTAGTTGATATCTGACTAATGAATTTGCTGTACCGTTAGTTATAGTATATAAGTAGTACAAGTGAGCACTTTTTACTTACTCCGAAAAAAATATCTTTGTCTTCAGATTGAGGCGATTAGCTACAGTATGATCGTTGTAGGATTTACGGCTTCAGACATCGGAAGTGGACGTCGGTTATCACGCCTCCGAACAGCCCCACGACACCATCGTCGATAGAGCAGCGCTCGTTGAGCTTGAGACATTCTAGACTAATCGAATGTCAGTGGTTTTCCGTGGAAGTTCTGTCGTTTTTCCTGTTGAGCAACGTGCTGGTGTTGGTTCTGGGATTTTACGCTGGGTAAGTGGGCATTCAGCCGTTGCTTTTATATTTTCCACTGCATTTTTATACTCTGCTTACTTTCCAGTTTTTGTGCCTGTCGCAAGAATCCAGTACGCGAAGTGGTAGGCGTTTTGTAATGCGCCGGCCTTCCATACACCACTTATCTATCATTGTCTAACAATACTGAATATGCTATTTTGATGATTAATACTGACGTCATATCATATTTTGTTTTTACGTGTTCTAAATTAAACAAGTTGTTGGTTGTTGATACGTAAGGAACATATTATGTTTCCAGTAAGACTTGTTGCCTAGACTGACATCTACGACAAAACTCATTCTAAACACAATTGTTGTTCTAAAACGTTTTGTGATGTCAGATAGCAGAATTTGATGACTGGCCCGAAATTTAGAGGATAATGTCTAACTACATCTTGTGTTTAAATAATGCCTAAGAACATAATACAGAGTGTTCTTTGAGTAAAGATGCACCGATGGCAAAGTATAGAGCAACGGCTGACTTACCATACTATACTATAAAAGAAGTATATAATCATTGCGTTAATCCTTTATAATATGCGCGTACAAATAGCCAGCAAATATAAAGTTATTAAAAAGATTATGAACAGAAAGTACTTCCAATTTATCCAGTTCATTAGTCGAGGGTATGTCTACTGTGATCTCCCCACAACAGATAAATAACGATCTGTTTTATCAGCAGTGCATGCAAGTTTACTGTTGCGGAAAGTTTCTAGTAACTGACTACTGTTGTAAATAAGCGACAATAAGAAAATCACTTGTCAGCAGCGTCATCGG